CGTGAGGTGCCAAAACTAGGGTTGAAATAACAGTGGAATCCAAGAGCGAGGCAAAGTGTGGTCTTTTTGTGGGCTCTGCTATTGCAGATCAGCTCCTGTGTCAATGACAATTATGACCATTTCTGTGGTATTTCCTTAGCAGATGCACATCCTTTCTTTCTAATTCTTTACAGGAACCATTCACAAGCCCAACATATGGGCTGAACCACACTTGGGGATCCCCTCAGGGAGTCCTCTTACCATCTGGTGTGAGATGACACTGGAAAAACAAATATATGTGATATATAAAGAGGGAAGCCAGGAATCCTGGGGCCAAAGATACAAATAGCCCCTAACAAAAAAGGAGAACTCAATGAATCAGGATTCAGTGTCGTGCTGTGTATAAGAGAAGGTAGAAATACTTCTCTTATATAGCTTCATTTACATGTATATGAATATATTTAATTGAATTTCATTGTAAACAATTTTTCATATAAATTGAACAACATTAATTGTTGCACAATATTACCAAAACTTTGCAACTATATATTTTTGGAAGTTTGAATCATCCCAACAAATTAACTATTTCTTGAATATCATTTCTCCATTTTTACTTTCTATTCCCTTAGTATCTTCTATTGTACTAGGTTCATGAATTTTCTATTTAATAGTCTGTATGTGGATACGTATTCCAGTTTTATTCTGATCTTTCTTAATTCTTTAGCTATTCAATATGAATCTTGTGGTGTTTCATGTTTGTGAGATGTAAATTTGTGTCCTATTAAATTAAGAGGAGTATGTTTTACAATGACACCCCACAAAAGAGGTGGAATGGAATCCATTCTGGTGTGAGATCTTGTAGCACGCTGGATCAGCAAGTTGCCAATTTCATGTCACAAGGCCTGAAATTACACAGGGAATCACTGTGTCCCTTTTCTTGACAGACACAGCAGGAAGCCATGTTCAACCCAGACAGCCATAGAGACCCCCTACCTGTAATGCTTGAGATTGATTTTCCAGAAAAGATTCCTCCTTCTAAAAAATGATTCCCTACTGCTCTTTGGCTCTAGTAACTTTTCTTTCTACTTCTTTGTTTTGAAAAAAATAAAGTCTTTCCCTTTAACAACAACAACAACAAAAAAAACCAATGAAATAATGAGGCAAACCCCACTATTCCATCTGTGACACAGCTGCAGGCAGGGAGATATCACTGTTACTCTCACACCTCTGCTGCATGGACACAGCACAGTGACACCATAGATCTGTTGGTGATAGGTGACAGGATACTTATAATCTTAGCCACAGACGTCACTCCCAAGAAAAATGAAGTAGCCACATAACCCTTCCATGTGCAGCCATGGGACACAATTCAGTCTCTATGAGCCCCTTTAGGTTTGCAAAGACTTATTTCTTCTAGGAGTCTATGACAAGCCCACCCTGTTCACCCAGTAGAAACCTGATGTAAATTTAAGAGTGTCTGTGACCCTCACTGGTAGCTCATATGAAATTTATGAGTGTTTCATTTTGACTAAGGATGGTCAGAAATTCTACACCCCTCAGAGATCAAGAAATACACACACTGTGGTTTTCCAGGCCAGATTCCATTTGGGTCCAGTACCTCCAGACAAAGGTGGAGTTTCAAATGCTATGGCTATTCCACAAGTAATCCTCAGGTGTGGTCAGAAGCCAGTGAACCCAGGAGCTGCTGGTCTCTTGTGTGGAAGCCTCAGACACTCTGTGGAAACACATTCTGTTGGACATGGGTTCACAGTGGAGACCATGGTGTGTGATGTGTCTGAACAACTTGGGATTATATCATTGACACAGAATACAGACAGTGGTAGTCAATGAACAGCAATTGGGAGTGTACATGGGAACTCTGAAAGCCTCAAGGAGTAGGAGAGTGATGAGTCTTCCCATGGCATTGCTGTTCCTTTTCTAGTCAGCGGTAAAGTACAAGAGCAGCAGAAAGTTTGACTTTTACTGAGAAACTGTTCTATGTCAAACTTCTCATCTGCTTCCTTCCAGGGATACTGAAAAAACCTACTTTATGGGCGGAGCCACGTTCTGTGATTGTTTCAGGGAAAGCTGTGACAATCTTGTGTGAGGGGACCAAGAACAACCAACTATATTTCCTCTACAAAGAAGGAAGCCCAGCACCTTTGGATAGTCAAACTCTACAAGGTCCCAGTAAAAAGGCCACGTTCTCCATAGCATCCATGGAAAGACATCATGCAGGGAAATACTTGTGTTACTCTTATGGATCTTCAGGGTGGTCAAAGCATAGTGACCCACTAGAACTGGTGGTGACAGGTGAGACAATAAGTCTTCAATCCTAGGAATTTCCTTGAGGAAAGCACTATGCTCCCCTTGGTGTCTCCTTCTCAATTTCCTGAAGAGGGGGGCAATGTTTACTTTCTGTTTTCCACTTAACTTCCTTTTCTTTCCTAGGAGTTTACTCCAGCAAACTCACCCTGTCAGCCTTTCCCAGTCCTGTGGTGACCCCAGGACGGAATGTTACTCTTCAGTGTGGGTCACAACGGGCATATGACAAATTCATTCTGATTAATGAAGATCAGAATATCTCCAGTGCTGTGTCCTCACTGAATGTACACCGTAGGCTCTTAGGAGCTCATTTCAATGTGGGTCCTGTGACCCCTAACCTGAGGTGGAGGTTCACCTGCTATGGATATTACCTGAATAACTCCCAGGTGTGGTCAGTGAGCAGTAATGTCCTACGGCTCCCAGTCTCAGGTAAGAAAACTTCAGTTCTGACTTTGAATGATATTACAACAGACACAGGATCCAGGGGAAGGACCTGATATGTTATAGGTGATCAAAAGACAGTGCTATTGTCGCCAGTTTCACCAAATGTGTGATAAATCAAGACTTGAGGTGAAAACAATCTTGTGGACAATCATAGTGGACCTAATGAGTCAAGGGAAATTCAGGTGTTTATTTGTCCTTCTGCTGTTGTAGATCAGCTTAGTGTCATTGCAAATGTGATGTCATTGCAAATGTGACCTTTAATGTGCAACTGTCCTAAGACATGCACTTGTTTTTCTTCTACATCTATTCAGGGAACCTTCAGAAACCCAGCATCTGGGCTCAACCAGGCTCTGTGTCTCTTCAGGAAGTTCTGTTACCATCTGGTGTGGGGGTCCACTACAAGCCCTTACATATGTGATCCATAAAGAGGGAAGCCCAGAAGCCAGACACATAGAGACCCAAGTAGACCACAATAACAAGGCAAAATTCTCTATCCCATCTGTGTCTAGCCTGAATGCAGGGAGATATAACTGTTACTCTTACAGCTCTGATGGCTGGACAGAGCACAGTAACATACTGGAATTGGTGGTGACAGGTAAGAGGACACTATGTGTCACAATCTTTGCCCCTGTCCTCAAGAAATAATCTCCTAAAGGTGTGTTTCATTGCTTATCTGCTGCAGACAATGTAGCCTGTGTTTATTGTAACAGGTTGTCTCCTCCTCTCCAAGGTGTCCATGATGGCAAACCTACTCTGTCAGCTTTGCCCAGCCCTGTGGTGACATCAGGTGGGAATTTGAGCCTTCAGTGTAATTCATCCAAAGGATACAATGGGTTCATTTTGACTGGGGCAGATCTGAAGTTCCCCAGGTCCCAAAAGGCACAGTTCATAAACAAAGGAATGTCCAAGGCTCTGTTTCCTATGATCTTTGTGACATACAGCAAGAATGGGCCCTTCAGATGTTATGGATACTATACAAAAACCCCATATGTGTGGTCAGAGGCCAGTAACCCCCTGGAGATATATGTCTCAGGTGAGGAAGTGTCCTCTTTCATTCAACTGTTTAACACCAGAAACACTTTGTTATAAGTCGTTCTGCCTCACAGAGGGCTACAGGGCATGATGGATGAAGGGAACTCTTGACTTCTAAGGCCCAGATTGGGAAAAGGCCATGGCCCTGTCAGATTAAGATGGCATATGGAATAGATTGCAAGAACCAGCTGTATGACTCCATGTCTATCTTCCTTCCAGGGTTGTCAAGAAAGCCCTACCTGGTGACCCAACAAGGAACCGTCCTGGCCCCTGGAAAGAACTTAACCCTCAAGTGTTTCTCTGAGACAAATGATGACAGATTTGCTCTGTACAAGGAGGGGGAACATGACCTCACACAGGTCTCTGCCTGTCAGTCTCAGGATGGACATTTTCATGCTAAATTCACAGTAGGCTATGGGAATTACTTCATTGGTGGTCGCTATAGATGTCTTGGTGCACACAGCAACTCCTCCGAGTGGTCAGCCCCGAGTGACCCTCTGGACATCCTGATCACAGGTGAGAAAATAGTGTATTTAGTTGGGACCCATCTTGGCAGAGGTTCATCTGGGATATGAGCTGGGATTTATCATCAAGATGATGATAAGCATCTCCAGGGAGGAATATGTCTAGGGACAAGAGAGGGGACAACGGACAGTCTGTTAAAACATAGAGACTAGTTTTTGAATGAGGGACTCCGGGCAATGACTGTTGCCTTTCATTTACCCATCTTCTTGTCTTTAGGACATCCCCTTGTTGCACTTAATCTCTCAGTGCATCCAGGACCTACTGTTTCCTCAGGAGAGAATGTGACTCTACTATGTCGGTCATCAGGCCCAGTGGACACTTTCTTTCTATTCAAGGAAGGTGAATCCCATCCCTACATGCAGCAAAGTTCAAAGTCTCAAGATCCGCAACATGAGGCAAAATTCTCGATGAGTGCTGTGACCCCAGACCTTGGAGGCTCCTTTATCTGCTTTGGTTCTGAAAGATCATCCCCTTTCCTGTTGTCACATTCCAGTGTTTCCGTGGAAATCATAGTCTCAGGTGAGGTGACCCAGGCGCTCCTGATAATACAGGGTAACCCTGCATAATTGACCTAGGAAGGGACCTATGCTGAGATTAAGAAGTGAACTGAGATTTCTCAATTAGCAACCATCCCTGCAAGGGGATCTAGAAGACTCTGGGTAGGAAGCTGGGAGGTTCTGGAGAGGCTGCAGTGCAGCTAGGAGACTGAGAATAGATGAGGCAATTTGTGCATCTTCTAAACAGCATTCCTCCAACAAATTTCTCACAGTTTCCTGGGGTCCAAAAATCCATTCCTATAGAAACTTTAGTTTTTTCTATCTATGGAGGTTGTTCCTGAGTGTATGCAGACATTC